ACGTCATGGCGCTTTAATACCTGTTTAAATCCATCACAAACAATTCTTGAACTACCTTCAAAACATTTTTTCTCAACAAAGTCCAAGTATTTAATTTTTCCTCACTAAAATTCCACTATTCAATAAGTTCATAAATTTTTATCTTAAAAATTTTTCCCCGATAATTTTATTGCACCTCACCTACTCCAACCGCTCAAGCTAGCGGATCTACTTAAAGCTATTTATCCACTCTGAAAAAACAGAATTTTATTATTTGCACAAGAAATTTAATCTCCAAGGAGTGTCTTTTAATGGGAGACAATATTAATACAGAGCTCGCTCGAGAAACCGAATAGAAGGAAAACGGTGAAGTTTAAATCTGACAGGAAGCGAGGAGTTAACGCTCGTTAACCCGTCAATTAGAGGGTTTAGTTGACCATACCAGGGTTAACTTTTAGTTGAGTTCTTTGGGTCATAAGCCATAAGCCAAAAGGTGCCATCCTGCTTCTCCGTTATGTCTCAAGCTCTTCTCCCATTAATTGGAGGCACTTCTGCACCCACTCTTCCTAACTAGATCCACTGTACTAGTTCAATTAATATTTCTTCTCAACTTTCAATGCAATCAAATTTCTTCTTTAATTAATCAACAATTCTCAGATCAATCTTGCAATTCATTTCATTAAATATAAAAATAGAAATTTATTATTCTTACAATCTGCAAACTTCCGCCCGTAAATGTGTACCAATTAATTAAACTGTCAATATTTGTCATGACACACTTGTTCGCGTGTCTCTGCTCAGCCACGTCATTCTATCTCACGATAGTAGAGCTCGGTAATAAATATCAGGGCGAGGGGCGATTTGACTTTACTATTAAATTAAATGTCGTAGCCTTAAATACATACAATATATTATTATCTATATTATTAAGAGAATAAGAAAAATTTCGTGTCCAGGACAGTCATATGATAAAATCGGGTTTTTTTTTAGTGAAATTTAGTGTCATTGCAAAGGTCTTGACTTGAATTTGTGCCTTTTCACGATCTTATATCATTTCCAGTCAATTTGTGATGATAAGTATTCAGGCTGCAATAAAAAATTCTCTATCTCTAGATACATAATTAAGAAATGATCTTGTATCTCGTGAAATATTGACATTTTTAAAGATATAAGCTCATCCCGATGTTACACTCATCAAAACCTTTCATTTGAGTACCCACATCAATATTTCATATATTTATATATATTATATATATGTATATATGAAAAATATATCAAAAATGCATGTGAGTACTCAAATGAAAGCTCTTGATGAGTGTAATGTCGGGATGAGCTTATATCTTAAAAAATGTCAATAATTAAGAACTGACTTTGCTATATTGTGAACTAATAATATGTTTGAAGATATATGCTCATCTCGACATTACACTCATCGAGACCTTTCATTTGAGTACCCACATCAATTTTTCATATATTTTATATATTTATATATATTATGTATATGTGAAAAATATATCAAAAATGCATGTGAGTACTCAAATGAAAGCTCTTGATGAGTGTAACGTCGGGATGAGTATATATATTTAAAAACATCAATATTTAAGAAAGTACAATGCAATTTAACAAAAGTCATTATTTAATGTAAAATTTTATTTATTTATAGTTCACAAGTCACAGCAGTCACGTAGTGACTGCAAGGTTGCTAGTTATTATTATTATATGAGCGCGTGTTAAATGATTGAAAAAGATGATGGTATAAATTACATATATGTAATAATAATAATAATGAATACATTTAATTATATTTTATAAAATATTATTTGAGCATACTTGTTTTATTTCCGATACGATTACCTCAGATTCGCGCATACGTAGCACATACGCTAGCACGCTCTGATGAGTCATCTTGGTTCACTGGTTCTTGGTAGCAGCTAGCAGCCTCTAGCTCAATTTATGAATGAAAATCCACACTTACACGTTACACCTCAAACGTTACACCTACAAACAAAACCGACCCACCAATAAAAGCGTTTGTCAATACATACACATATTATTGTAATATATATTTACTATATAATATAATGCACTTAGCGCTCTCTACCTCTACTTCTTTACATACCAGACTCATTGTACCATTATTAACATTTGATACACTACAAGCCTCACGGCTACGGAAGTCAAGATTAGTCATTGCAAGATGTTGATTTTATTTATTTTATGACACATCTATACTGATACGATGTGATAAATATAAATATTGATATTTTGTAACTTTCGGGGAATCCCGGGTTGTGAAATTACAGGTGAATTAAATTTTTGGGAAAATTTAAATGCCAGAGCAGAACTTTAAATATTTGCTCTTGACATTTAAATTTTTATTTATGTATTTAAACTTCTTATCTAATAATTTCTGAAGAAGTTTTTTTAATTCTTAGAAATTTAATTAATTGCAAAAGTTATGATTTACAATCATTAAAAATTTTTAAGTGTAATAACCTTTTATTTGATAATTATTAAAGTAATTTAATGATTAATTGCTTTATTAATTATGATTTTTAATTTTAACTTATTAAAATAATTAATTAATAAAAAATATTTATTACAAAATTATTCATTGCAATCAATTATCTTAAAATAATGCAAATAAAATAATTACATAACAAAAATTAATTATTTTCAAGGCTAAAAAATTAAATCATATTAATATTAAAATAAAAATCTATTACTAAGTTCAATATTTTGACTGAAGATATTTCATAATTCATAAAGCAATTTAATTAATTACCAAGGTAGCAGTCGCGCGTTATTATCACATTATTTGTAAAAGTTTTGAAATCCCCATGACGTCAATGAGCCAACAGATAGAGAAAACAAATTTCCGATGAAATGAATTCTATCTCCCTCTTTGGTAATAACTCGACATTTCTCCGTCTTTCTCCGTTATATTATGGCCATCGCGAGTAAGGTATTATGACGTCAGACACGTCTGCCTCCTTTCGCCATTCCCAGGATTTCCTTTAAAAAGTTGTACGGTATAAAGACGCCGAAAACCCGGATTTTAAATTCCACCGATACCGCAACAGTTCCGGAGTTTTGCGAAATCGATTATCTTTATCGTGTTTATTTTTATTCTCAGATAAATTTAAGCTCGTGTAAGTGAAACGTGCTCCGACAAGTTTGGACTTGAATGAACGCGCCCGCTTCTAGGTATAAAATATTAAAATACTACCGTGCATATATGTTATGTATAATAACCGTGAGTCCTTATTATATTTTCCTCCGTAAAAATAAGGGCCGCCTTAATTAGCATAAAGGTCTACCGTTCTGTGTGTAGCGACGGCTTTGTTCACAAGAAATTTCATTTCATTTTATTAAACCTTATTACAAGAATTTATTTCAATGGTTGAAGACGAGTAAATTATTACAAAGAATCGGTGATCCATCAAAAATTATTAAGTGGCCCACTTACTATTTGTTATTTAAAAAAAACTATATTTTAACTACATAAAATATAAAATATAAAATATAAAATATAAAACGAAAGATAAATGACCGGTTATTATTATTATTATCCAGTAAATATAGTTCCCAAAAGAACGTTAGTTATGATTATTTAAAATGATGAGACTAGATTTTTCTTTTTCACGACAAAAGATTCTTTAAATTTAAATTTTTCTTTTTCGTTGCGAGGGTGATAATAAAAGGAAAGGTGAGAGAGAGTGTAACCGCATCCCTAACTCATCTTTCCACGTATAATATTATACTATTAATGTATATTATATTGTATTCTTCTTAATGCTCTTAGGAGTGTATATAAAAGGACCAAAGAGATTATTTTTTAGGTATCAGAAGACAAATATAGCATTCGGGTGTATAGACTCTTCTCCTTTTTACATATTTCGGACACACAGGTCGTCCAAGATCCGTCACACATACACACACTGATATTGTGGTGTTATATGTGGCCTTCTCTCAAAAGAGGCTGTCGAAGAGTGCAGCATGCGCGTCGGAAATGCCTTCGAAGTTGCGTCAGAACTCTGGAATTCCAGACCGTTGCCCAGAACACTGAGAAAGATCATCCTGGAAAATAAATTTTATTAAATTAATAAAAATGCCATTTAAATTGAAGCGCTCTCACACCCTGGAATTTTAATTTTTGATTAATACATCTAGAAAAAAAAGTTTTAAATTTAAAACTTAGAAAAAAAAAGTCGAATTTTTTAAATTTTTAAATTGCATAAAGTTATTTTTTTTTCTTAATGAATTTTAATTTAAAAAAACTATTTTTTTTTTTAAATGTAATTTTTATTTAACTTCTTAAAAAAATACATTTGGTACTTAAAAAAATTATATCTAAAAGACTTTGACAATAATATTGAGTAGATAATAGTTGGCTACAACAAAGAGATCTCGCCATTTAAAAATACTGAATTAATAATTGTTCCTAAACAATTATGACACTGAAGTTAGAAGACATGTGAAAAGTTTTGATTTTTTTTATTAATTAAATTACAGCTAAAAAAAATTTCTAAAAAATTGCACTTGTAGTTTTTCAAGTTTTTTACATGTGACAATTTTTTTTTTAATTGTTTAATTGAAATTTTTTCAATAAAAAATTTTAAAATATCGGCTAAATTCATTTTCATAAATAATTGCTTATGTCGATAGTATTATTTTTTTAACTTAACCATTACAATTAATATCAACATTCTAATTAGCAAATTGTACAAAAAAAAAATAAGTTCAAAAGTTATTATCACTTTAAAAAAACCACTTAATATCATTAATATTTAATAAAGGTGTATTTTGGTTTGAATCATTCAAATAATTTATAATTGAACTATTGCAACATTAAAATGTTAAAAAATCACCCTTTAAAAAATAAGGAATTAAACAAATTGCTAATTAGTCGATATATGATGTAAAAATTTATGGTTTTAGCAAAAAACAAAAAAAAAAAACTATTATCATACCTAGTATTTCTCAATATCATTTAAAAAAAATTCAGAGTTATTTATTTATTAAATAATTTCTTTTCTCATCCTTGAAAAGTTGATAGAAAAAGTATTCCAAGTTCTATTCGTAGTTTTACAAATTATCCAGAGTAGAAGGCCAAGCTCATAAACAATTACACCTGGATGTTGATTTATTTCTTCTTTGTCTAAGCTGCTGACATGTAAACATAAATGTAAATGTTAATATCAATGTTAATGTTAAAGAAATAATAATAATAATAATAAATATAAAAATGAAAGGTGGCTTCTGTTACATTCATTTTTACCGGGAATTACCTCGACTTGATCGTGCAAACACGATTCTCGGTATTACATATATCCACACAACCTCCTCCTTTGACATTCAAACCAATACCGTACCAATGAGACCACCACAAACTAGATTCCAGATACGTACTGCTGTATTTAGCCCACATTATATTAATGATACCACGAACATCAAACCAGTATCATATCATATCACGCATATATTATATTATATTATTAATTTACACATATATTCACATAATTTAATATGTATAATATCTCATCAAACTCAACTCGACATAACAGATTTGATGTACCGGAAAGACGCGGTGACGTGAACCGCGGTTTTTCCTTGTATAATTGCGCGATCTTGCGTGTTTTTGTTATTTTTTCCGAATTATCAACCGCATTCAGCTCCGCTAATTGGGGTGTAAATTTCCACCTGGCAAAAACGTCAAACATTTAATTATAAAGATTATTTTCACCGTATTGGTTAGACAGAAAAACCCCAAGTTGGATGAAATTAGCCTGGTGCAGAATCAGATGCGGCAACATAGGAAAGGCAGGAAAGAAGGGCTACAGGGATTGGCTATGTCGTTTATGCCAAGGTGAAGAAGAGACCTTAGAGCACATATTCAGATGCAGAACATCATTGTATAGTGTCAAGGCAGAGGTGAGAAGTTTTGTCTTGGATTGGATGGGTAGAAAAACAGGAGCAGACTTTGACTGGTTGTTACTACAGACACTAAGAGGTGAACCAGTACAAGAAATTTGCCAACTTGTGGGTAAATTTCTAAAACTCACAAGAGATGAGAATGACCCCTTGCCTGAAGTCCATGATGCAGCAGCCCAACAAGTCCCGAACGAAGGTGTTTAGATGGCAGCCAAAGAAGTAGACAACCAGTGCAGAATATTTATTTTTCATAATTGCCTCACAGAGGCTATCGTAAATTCCTTTAATTTTAGCCAACAAGTGCCATAAAAGTTAGTTTGTAGAGTCTTTAATATATTTTGATTTAATATAAATTGTTCCAAAAATTTCTAAAATACCTAAGCTAGTTAAAAGTGATATTATCAATAAGACGAAATGAAATATTTAAGTAAATGTAGTGCTAGAACCAGAGCTTTAAATAACATCTAAGATGCAGATTTGATTTTAAGAAACTCTGATGAAAAAATTGTTAAAAACAGTTCTTACTGTTGTACAATGCAAAATAAATATCTATCTATAAAGATTATTTTCAATGTGTTAAACACATGAATTAGCAGACGTCTGATTCTTAGAATTTTTATAAATAAAAATAATTATTATTATTAAAAAAAATATAAATAAAATTCCAGATGCAAAAATAAAAAAAAAAAAAATTTTGAAACAAATTGTTAAATAAAATCTTGAAAAAAAATTTTTGAATAAAATTTTTTAACATAACCAAAAACTGTCAGTCGCTAATTTCTGTCAAGTACAATGCAGAATAATGAAATACAAATTACAAAACTATAAAAATAAAATAAAAACTCACGTAATTTGATTAATTTATCAGTTGGCTTATTAATAATTGTTTTCTCACAAGATCCGAGTAAAAAACATGATGATTGACACGTCTGCGTCTCTATGTATTATATTAATCTAGAACCCACACTCAACTGTCGCCGAAGGCTCCCGAGGTCTGCCGGAGAGACCCGAGCCCGCGGATTCGCCGGCCGCGGACCATGTGGTGATACCACGATGACAAAAGTACTGTCAGTGTCACTCGCCGCGCCGCGCTGTTAAGATCCAGCTCTAGTTCAACATTTTTTAATTATTTAACTTTATATTTTATATATACATATATTTATATTTCTATATCAACACACATTTTTAAAATATTTATTCATTATCTCGGTATTAAAAAAAAGTCAACCGAACGGCTGCGGATTAGCTTTTCAATAAAACACAAGGTCACTCTCCATTCCATTGTTGTTAACATTATTATAACTGTAATCGGTAATTCCTGGAATTGAATACGCTTTTTTAACATCTGGTGAGTTTTTGATAAATATATATGTTCACTTTATAACTTTAATTTATTCAATGTGTGATAAATAACTTTTTACTCTATTCAAATAATTTTTCTACACGTGCCGTTATTTCTTTTTTTTTTTTTTTTTTGTGTCATTCGTATCAATTTATTTTATCTATATAAATCAAATATAATACTCAAGTTAGATGACATTAAAGTTAGCAGTCACTTAAAAATTTTTTAAATTTTATTCAACAAAAAAAATTGTCCCAAAAAATCAATTTTAAAAAATTGCATTTTTTATTTTTAAAAATTTTCACATGTCAATTTTTTTTTTTTTAATTATTTTGCCATCATTTATTTGTTAAATAATTTTTAAAATTATTAAATATATGCTAAATTAATTTTCATTAAACTTAGCCGACATTTTTTTTTTTTAAATTATTAAATTAGAACTAAATAATATTTTTAAAAAATTGCACTTATAGTTTTTCAAGTTTTTTTAATAAAAAAAAACTCTAAAAATTTTTAGATGTCGGCTAACTTAATTTTTATAAATTAAATTGATTCTCGCTCACGATAATAACAAAAAAAATTTATTTTAAGATTAGAAATTAAAATTTCAAAAGACAAAATAATAATTGTTAAAATAACTTTACGGTTTTTAATCACGAACAAAGACAATAAGAATTATTTGTTACTTATTTGTAGTAATAATTGCACGTGTATAATAACAATAATGATAATTATATTTCTTCATATAACTATATATATATATAGAATAATAAATACCGTGAGTATAATAAGAAGAAAAATAATCTAACGTATTTTTTATTTTTTTTTTTTTCTAGTGTGACTGATGTATGTAGTGTGTATTGGCTCATTATTTTCCCGCGCAATACACCGCTCAATTTGCGCATACACATGCAATGCACGTGTGCATTTGAATGTCCATGTAGATGCAGATTTATATTGTAGACATGATATGAGAGTGCGAATGATGGCCACGAGATTGTAAATTGTAAATGTAAAGTGAGATAACCAATGAGTCGATTAAAGTTTCCAGCCGATAGTTATTTTATAAGCGTAATATAATGATCGGCTAACTATGACGCAATAACTCGATATTTTTTGCGCTTTCGCGTCATGCTATTGTCAGATTATTATGAAATTAAATATAAATGAAACTCGGATTTAAAGCAGGACAAGATCGCGTCCATGATGTTGCATTATCAGATCTGTGGACATATATAAATTTATTTATTTATTTTTATTATCATTGTTTTTGTATGGAAGATTTAAAATTTATAATAGGGAACACGTATTTAAATAGCCATGGAATGAATTTGTTTATCGCTAATGTGTGAGTTAGCGACCTTGGTACCGCCCACACCGGAGACATATGGGTTGAGTGCTCCCGTGATCTTGGCCTGACATTTTCGTCAGTAAAGTGCCTCATATCGCAGAGACGTGAGTTTACTGTACCCTTTTTAAAACTTCCTCTAATCTTTGGCTGAGGTTCTGATTTTATATTTTATTTTATTTTAAAAGTTTTATGATTTATTTTATTTGATTTATTTTTGGTTTTTTCTTCGAGGGTCAATGAATTTTGTGATACTGATGATTACAAAAATCTTAAGTATTTTTTTTTTAAATGGAAATATTTAAAATTTTTATTTTATGAACAGAAGATTGAAACTTGAAAAATATCGTCTGAATTTTTTAAACACATAATAAATAGTAAAAAAATTTTTCTATTACAAAAATTATCAAATATCTTAAGTTTTATTTTAAATAAAAATATTTAAAGTTTTAATTGAAAATAATAATTTTATAAAAAAAAAAATTCAAGCTTAAATTAAAGTTTCTTTAAAGATCTTAAGTTTTATTTTAAATAATAAAATTTTAAATTAAAAATGATAATTTTATAAAAAAAAAAAAAAAAAATTCAAGATTAAAAAATTAAAAATTTGTTAAAATTTTTTAAAGTTTGTTTAAAAATCTTAAGTTTTATTTTGAATAATAAATATTTAAAATTTTAATTGAAAATAATTTTATAAAAAAAAATCAAGCTTAAAAAAAAAAAATTTGTTTAAATTTTTTATTTTGACTTTTTAAATAAAATAAAATATTTTCTTGACTCTTAATGTTAATTTTTTTGACTTTAATTTTTCCAAGATAAAAAAAATACACTCCGATTTATTAAATTGCGCAGTAATTTAAATTAACAAAGAAAAATAATAATTTATATAATATTAAAACGGAAAATGATTTATTGATTTCTGGAAGATGTTGAAATATTATCTTCTTTATTGAATAAATAAAAATCTATTTTTTTGTTTTATCAATTTATTAAACTGCGGGCGTGATTTCTTTGTTTGCTCCATAATATCCCAGCCGAGAGTAGAGCTAAGCTAAGCATTTCGAAAGTGAGAATATAGATGTAACAATGTGTATCTGTATTCTGTGTTGGTTGAGTTTTTCGAGCTTGAGCCGCTGCCGACTAAGTGAAGTGTCTCGGGGTCGTCGGACGAATTATATTTGAGAAACGATAGCGTTTTCTTTGTTCTCGGTTAACTCGCGTTGTTAACTTACACTGTTTTAGTTTTAGTTTTGCTTTTACAGGAGTGCCGAGTATTCCCAACCGAGCAAATAAAAATAAAGAGGAATTGTTGAGGAGCTGGTGAAGAATGAGACACTCAAGTCGCTAAATGGACCATTTTTTCGTCTCATTTCACTTCACAGCTTTTACTCGAGAAGAAAAATAAAAATAAGTAAATGCAGACACGCATGTTGAATGCTATTAATTATTCAGATGTTTGCTTGATTTAGTATTGCAATAATAATTATTAATAATTTAATCTCCTTGTCTCTGAGGGATTAGTAATAGAATTATCCGGTCTTTATACCCTGACATTATTTTATTATATTATGCGGCTCGAATTAAGCTCGTTCTATTTATGGACTCACGGATTTATTTTTTCTTTTGTTGTAATTAAAATTATTTAGATAAATTATAAGATAAATCGGAGCGACTGTGCTACAAAAAAAAAAATTCGTTTTTAATTGGAAAAATTAAAGGATTCAGTTTTAATTTTACAATTTTATTTAAATTAGAATTCTTTTATATTAGCAGACAACTTATAATTTTTAAATTTTTCTTGATAAATAAATAAGAGCCAAAAAATTATTAAAAAAAA